GCTTTGACTGACAGTATGCCACTGTGTGTGTATAACGGTCTGTGTGTTATGTGGTCTTTGGTTTTGGGGCTAATTGGTGGGTTTTTGTTGGGTTGTCTGTGTTTGTGTGTTCGTGTGTTCCTTTGGGGTGTGGTTTTTTTTCTCGGTTTTTTGGGGGTTTTGGGGGGTTTTGTGGGGGTTTTTTTGGGGGTGTTTGTTTTTTGTTTTGTAGCATCCCTCACACGTTGGTGGGTTTTTGGGGGGTTTGGCGTTAGGCCCCTTTGCCCGAAAGGTTTTCCGAAATTTTTCCCCCCAAACAGGAGAGGACCGGGGGGCAAAAAAAGGGCAAAACAGACAGACAGACAGACAGACCGGCCAAAACCCAGACAGGGGAGAAAAAGAAACGGGGCAGAAAACAAAAAAAAACCGGGAAAAAACAACAGACAGACAGGGGACAGGCCCGACCCCGGGAAAAACAGACAGGAACCCGACAGACCGACAGACAGGGCAGACCCCACAGAAACAGACAGACAAGGGCAAGCCCGAACAGGGAAGAAGGACAGGCAGGCAAAACAGGGCAGGGCCAAAAAGAAACAGAAAAGACAGCCCAAAAAGACAGACAGGACAGAACCCGAAGAAAAGAAAAAAGAAAAAAGACCATACAACAGGCCCGACAGACCCGACAACCGAAAAGAAAAAAGACAGAAAAGGGCCCGACAGGGGGGAAGGACAGACCCCGAACCCCGACAGGAAAAAAGACAGACAGAAAAACCGACAGACAGACAGGACAGAAGACAACAGGCCCGGGACAGAAAAGAAGTAGCTGCCCTTTTTTTTATTTTGTTTTTTTTTGGGGTTAATTTTACGCATCAACGGGGCAGGGAGTTCCTTTAGAATCCACTCTTGTTAAAAAATCTATTAATTTTTCTCCCCTGTTCCAGCCAAACCCTGTCATAATGAGTGAAAAAACTTTAAAACATTTTTCACAGAATTATATTCCCCCTAAGCATCCCCCAACCAAAGGGGGAAATGGGTTCCAAACTAAACCTCGGGTTTCCCAGATGTGGGGGGAAACTCCCCCCAAAAGAATGGATTTTTAGGTGTTCCCAAAGGGCTCTGGGGCCCGAAAATAGGGTAGGGGATTTGGGAAGGTTTTACAGGGGGAGGAGGGGAAACATTTCAGTTTGGAGTTTTCCCCAATGGATGTGGGTTTTGGGGGGGTTAAAACAGGTTTTCAGTGTTTTTAAACTCCAAGCACCCTTTTATCAAAATGTTTCGGCTTTCTCCCCTTTTGTTTGTTTTTCGTGTTTATCTCCCCTTTGTCTTTTGAACGATAGATTTCCCAACAAGATTCCCATTTTGTTCATTGACCCCGTCGTCAAGCGGAAAACCCCTTAAATAGTCCTTTAGAGCCTTTAGGGGAACAACACAACCCCCTTTTAGTCATTTTTGAGCCCTTTTTAGGTAACAACCCCCCCTCCCGTGTCATGTTAGAGGGCCCCTTTAGGAACAACCCATCCTCCCTTTTTTATGGTTTTTGAGCCTGTTAGAGGGAACAAAAACATCCTCGTTTGTTTATGTTAGGGGCCTTGGGTTTTCAAAAACAAATCCTCCTGTAGTAGGGTTGAGCCTGTTAGGGTAACAAAAACCTCCTCCTGAGTCAGTTAGGATGTTAGGTAAAAAAAACATTTCCCCCTTTAGCATGTTAGAGGGTTTTTAGGTAAAAAACACATTTCCCCCCCCCTTTTTAGTCTGTTTGAGCCTTTTTAGGGAACAAAACATCCCCCTGTAAATAAAGTTGAGGCCCTGTTAGGTAACAACACAACCTCCCCGTAAAACCATGTTTTTTTGGCCCGTTAGGTAAAAACAAACTCCTTTAAACCCGTTGGAGAGCCTTTTTTAGGGGGCAAAAAAACCTCCTGTAGGGCAGGTTTGAGCCCGTTAGGTTTAACCCAACCCCCATCCTCCCTTTTGTAAGTTAGGCTGTTAGGGGGAAAAACACATCCTCCCGAGTCTGTTTGAAACCTGTTAGGTAAAACAACAATCCTCCTGGATCTGTTTTGAGCCTGGGGGAAACCCAAAAAAACCTCTGTAGTAAAGGGTTTGAGCCTGGGGGGGTTAAAAACCCCATCCCCCTGTAGGGATGTTTTGAGCCTGTTAGGTAAAAAAAATCCTCCCGTGTAAAGTTTGAGGGCCTTTTTAGGTAAAAAACACAAAACCCCCTTTTTAGTCATGTTTAGAGCCTTTTTTAGGAACCCAAAACCCCCTGGTTCCCGTTGAGCCTGTTAGGGGGAACAAACACATTTCCCCTTTTTTAGTCATGTTAGAGCCGGGTTTGGGGAACAACACATCCCCTGTAGTCATGTTGGGGCCTTTTTAGGTAAAAACAAACCTCCGGGAGCCCCTGTTAGGCCTGGGTTTTGGGGGAACAACACAACTCCCCGCAGCCTGTTAAAACCTGTTAGGTAACAAACAATTTTCCCCCTGTAGTATTTTGAGGGTGTTAGGTAACAAAAACAAACCTCCGCGCCATGTTTTGAGCCTGTTTGGGTAACAACAATTCCCCCTGTAGTAATGGTTTTTGAGCCTGTTTGGGTAAACAACACAACCCCCCTGTAGTCTGTTAGAGCCTGTTAGGGGAAAAAACACATTTCCCCTGTTATTTAGTTTTGGGCCTGTTTTGGTAACAAAAACATTCCTCCCGGAGTCAGGGTTTGAGCCCTTTTTTTAAAGGTTTCCAAAAACCCCCTCCGTGTCATGTTAGAGCTGTTAGGTAAAAAAAAAATCCTCCTGAGTAATTTAGAGCCTGTTAGGTAAAACCAAAAAAACCCCCCCTGTATTTTAAAGTTTTGAGGCCCTTTTTTAGGGAACAACACCCTCCTCCCGAGTCATGTTAGGGCCCGTTTGGAACAACAAAATCCCCCTGTGTATTTTTAGAGCCCGTTAGGGTTTAAAAAAAACCAAAAACCCCCTTTTAGTCATTTTTAGAGCCTGTTAGGGAACAAAAAACCTCCTTAAAGTTTGGTCAGGGTTTGAGGCCCTGTTAGGTTAAAAACACAACCTCCTTGGGTTTGTCATGTTTTGAGCCTTAGGAACAAACACCTCCTCCTGTTTGTCATGTTTGGCCTGTTAGGTAAAAACACCCCCCTCCGTTGGCATGTTTGGGGGCCCCCGTTGGTAACAACACATCCTCCCGTGTATGTTTTTGAGCCTTTTTTGGGAAACCCAAAACAATTTCCCCTTTAGGGCAGTTAAACCTGTTAGGAAAAAACACATCCGCGAAATCATGGGTTTGAGCCCGGGTTTTTGGGTTTAAAAACCAAAATCCTTTTGTTTGTAATTTTTAGAGCCTGTTACGGTAAACAACCAAACCCCCGCAGCCAAACAGTGTAATTTTTTGAAAAATTTGTTTGTAATGCTTTTGTTTGACAGTGGGGGCCGACAGCCAGGACAGGTCTGGGTTGCGCTCGCGAGTCCTCGGTATGTCCCCTATTATAAGACATTATTAAGCTTCATGCTAATTTGCTAGCTAGCCAACACTACCAGCAGGCTGTGGTAGCTAAATACAATATCTTTGTGCTAGCTACCCAACGTTTAATCGTTGCTGCGTTATGAAAGGTAAGCTTGGCTTCTTATATGGTGTTGAGTTAAGCTTAAACCATGTATTTAGATTGTAGGTAGGTATTGTAGTTTTGCTATTATAGGTAGCTTACTCAGGTAGTTATTGAAGGTTATTGTAGGTAATTATTGTAGGTAAGGACTGTATTCGGCGGACTCCGGCGAAGCACGAGGCTAGCCTACCCACTACTTGGACCAACAAAGCTAGCTAGCTAGCGGGTAGCTACTGGTAACTTTTGCAACTATGGTTAATTGTTTCCAATGTTATTTCATGCTTAAGAGTACCTGTGATTGAGCCAGCTAGCTGCTACCATTCAGCTGTTTTTCTAACCTCATCCGAGGCATTAACGTTAGGTGGTTGGTAGCTGCTGTACTTAATTACAGCTACTGATAACAGTCTGCTGTAGTTTACAACAATTCTAATTTCTAAAGTGGAAGTTGGGAGAGTTTTTACTCGGGTGGTTCAGTGAAACAATTATAGTTTCTGAGGTGGAAGTTGGGAGAGTTATATATATATATTTTTTGGTGAGGGAGGCCTGCTCTCTCCTTTCCCTGATGTTTAGTTCATTTCATCCCGATCTCCTCTGCATTATTGTAGCCATCTGCTGCAGCCTGTCAACTATGCCTCTGCCTATCCCTGTTCTCTCCTCTCCGCACAGGCTACACAAACGCCTCACACCGCGTGGCTGCTGCCTCTCTAACCTGGTGGTCCCTGCACGCACCACACACCTGGAGTTCCAGGTCTCAGGCAGCCTCTGGAAACTGCCGTTCTGCCGCCAACAAGGCTGACTTAATCCCAGCCTATGCCACCCTCCAGTCCCTCGACTTCCTGGCACTGACGGAAACATGGATTACCACTGAAAACACTGCTACTCCTACTGCTCTCTCCTCGTCTGACCATGTGTTTCTCGCATACCCCGAGAGCATCTGGTCAGAGGGGTGGTGGCACAGGAATCCTCATCTCTCCCAAGTGGTCATTCTCAATTTTTCCCCTAACCCATCTGTCTATCTCCTCATTTGAATTCCACGCTGTCACAGTCACTAGCCCATTTAAGCTTAATATCCTTGTCATCTATCGCCCTCCAGGTTCCCTTGGAGAGTTCATCAATGAGCTTGACGCCTTGATAAGTTCCTTTCCTGAGGATGGCTCACCCTTCACAGTCTTGGGGGATTTCAACCTCCCCATGTCTACATTTGACTCATTTCTCTCTGCCTCCTTCTTTCCACTCCTCTCCTCTTTTGACCTCACCCTCTCACCATCCCCCCCCACTCACAAGGCAGGCAATACGCTTGACTTCATCTTTACTAGATGTTGCTCTTCTACTAATCTCACTGCAACTCCCCCTCCATGTCTCCGACCACTACTTTGTATCCTTTTCTCTCTCGCTCTCCTCCAACACTACTCACTCTGCCCCTACACAGATGGTAACGCGCCGCCGCAACCTTCGCTCTCTCTCTCCCACTACTCTCTCCTCTTCCATCCTATCATCTCTTCCCTCTGCTCAATCCTTCTCCCTCCAATCTCCTGATTCTGCCTCCTCAACCCTCCTCTCCTCCCTTTCTGCATCCTTTGACTCCCTGTGTCCCCTATCCTCCCGGCCGGCTCGGTCCTCCCCTCCAGCTCTGTGGCTTGATGACTCATTGCGAGCTCACAGAACAGAGCTCCGGGCAGCTGAGCGGAAATGGAAGAAAACTAAACTCCCTGCCGACCTGGCATCTTTCACTCCCTCCTCTCTACATTTTCTTCATCTGTTTCTGCTGCTAAGGCCACTTTCCTACCACTCTAAATTCCAAGCATCTGCCTCTAACCCTAGGCCCTAGGAAGCTCTTTGCCACATTCTCCTCACTGCTGAATCCTCCCCCCCCCCCCCCCCCCCTCCTCCCTCTCTGTGGATGACTTTGTCAACCACTTTGAAAAGAAGGTTGACGACATCCGATCCTCGTTTGTTAAGTCTAATGACACTGCTGGTCCTGCTCACACTGCCCTACCCTATGCTTTGACTTCTTTCTCCCCTCTCTCTCCAGATAAAATCTTGCGACTAGTGACTGCAGGCCGCCCAACAACCTGCCCCGCTTGACCCCATCCCCTCCTCTCTTCTCCAGACCATCTCCGGTGACCTTCTCCCCTACCTCACCTCGCTGATCAACTCATCCTTGACCGCTGGCCATGTCCCTTCCGTCTTCAAGAGAGCGAGAGTTGCACCCCTTCTCAAAAAACCAACACTCGATCCCACTGATTTCAACAACTACAGACCAGTATCCCTTCTTTCTTTTCTTTCCAAAAACTATTGAGCGTGCCGTCTTTAGCCAACTCTCTTGCTATCTCTCTCAGAATGACCTTCTTGATCCAAACCAGTCAGGTTTCAGGACTGGTCATTCAACTGAGACTGCTCTTCTCTGTGTCACGGAGGCTCTCCACACTGCTAAAGCTAACTCTCTCTCCTCTGCTCTTGTCCTTCTAGACCTGTCTGCTGCCTTTGATACAGTGAACCATCAGATCCTCCTCTCCACCCTCTCCGAGCTGGGCATCTCCGGCGCGGCTCACTCCTGGATTGCGTCCTACCTGACCGGTCGCTCCTACCAAGTGGCGTGGCGAGAAGCTGTCTCCGCACCACGTGCTCTCACCACTGGTGTCCCCCAGGGCTCAGTTCTAGGCCCTCTCCTTTTCTCCCTATACACCAAGTCACTTGGCTCTGTCATATCCTCACATGGCCTCTCCTATCATTGCTACGCTGACGATACACAACTAATCTCCTCCTTTCCCCCTTCTGATAACCAGGTGGCGAATCGCATCTCTGCATGTCTGGCCGACATATCAGTATGGATGACGGATCACCACCTCAAGCTGAACCCTGGCAAGACGGAGCTGCTCTTCCTCCCGGGGAAGGACTGCCCGTTCCATGATCTCGCCATCACGGTTGACAACTCCGTTGTGTCCTCCTCCCAGAGTGCGAAGAGCCTTGGCGTGACCCTGGACAACACCCTGTCGTTCTCCGCCAACATCAAGGCGGTGACCCGATCCTGCAGGTTCATGCTCTACAACATTCGGAGAGTACGACCCTGCCTTACACAGGAAGCGGCACAGGTCCTAATCCAGGCACTTGTCATCTCCCGTCTGGATTACTGCAACTCGCTGTTGGCTGGGCTCCCTGCCTGTGCCATTAAACCCCTACAACTCATCCAGAATGCCGCAGCCCGTCTGGTGTTCAACCTTCCCAAGTTCTCTCACGTCACCCCCCCCTCCTCCGCACACTCCACTGGCTTCCAGTTGAAGCTCGCATCCGTTACAAGACCATGGTGCTTGCCTATGGAGCAGTGAGGGGAACGGCTCCTCCGTACCTTCAGGTTCTGATCAGTCCCTACACCCAGGCGAGGGCATTGCGTTCATCCACCTCTGGCCTGCTGGCTCCCCTTCCTCTGCGGAAGCATAGTTCCCGCTCAGCCCAGTCAAAGCTGTTCGCTGCTCTGGCACCCCAATGGTGGAACAAGCTCCCTCACGACGCCAGGACAGCGGAGTCACTCACCACCTTCCGGAGACATTTGAAACCCCACCTCTTTAAGGAACACCTGGGATAGGATAAAGTAATCCTTCTACCCCCCCCCCCAAAAAAAAAAAAAAAAAAGTATAATTGTAAAGTGGTTATCCCACTGGCTATAGGGTGAATGCACCAATTTGTAGTCGCTCTGGATAAGAGCGTCTGCTAAATTACGTAAATGTGCCCTTGAGCAAGGCACTTAACCCTAATTGCTCCTGTAAGTCGCTCTGGATAAGAGCGTCTGCTAAATGACTAAAATGTAAATGTAAATGTAATTACAAGTTATGAAGGACTGCAGTCAGGTGTGTTTCCAGTTAGTATAGTAATGTTAGTTTATGACAGTGAAAGGCAGGGTGATTGGTGCCTG